GATTGGATCTACGGCTGTGAGAAGCCATCCTGTGTAGCTCGCAGGGTCACTGAGGCGCGCGAGCCATCACACCGTGTCAAAATGCAGTTTCGTGATGGAATGAGCAGGATGAAAGAATAGTGTTTGATGTCGTAGATTATGAGACATATGCAGCGATATACTTCCAGACGGAATAGATTTAATTTATCGGTACCTATCAAAGCATGTAGGGACTAAAATTATCCGCCATGCGGCCACGACGTCAAAATCTAAGGTTCCCTGATTTCTGACAGAGAAGGTGGTTCATATGCTCTGTTTACGTTTAGGTGCTCAAAGGATGATGATTTCCGAGCTTGGACGTGCTTAATTTTCTGTGATGCGACTTTCTGCTGTACGGTGATAAGTCAGCTGCATGTAGAAATCCATGATGAACCTTATGGGTGTGGTACGAAAAGAACTCCACTGTGCTACTTGGCCTTTTCATTTGAGGGTGCACCTTGTACGCTCAAGTCATTTCGCTGCGTTGAGGATTCTTATGTATCAATATAAAAATATGCAAATTCAAAGATATGTACAATTTGTTTATTAGCCCAACAATTCCGGCTGTGTAGGAGCGCATGACGACCTTGCAGCTAGTATAATCACGAATCGTTATATGCTACTCCACGGTAATAAGACTTGAGCCGGTTGTTAAACGAACAACGACCAAGTTCAAGGCTCTTCCACTTTGATGTGCGGATTTCTTTGCATGTTTGTAGCTTTTTATTACAGATAGATCACTCACTACTCCAAAACTTAACAACTCTGAAATGGTCCGTTTTTGGGGGTGATCAGCTTTCTCTATGGTTCAACACTTAGGACTCTATGAGGAACGTCCTTTTTCATGTCTTTTTCACTACCTCCGTTTTACTACCTGATAGCACATCGGGGGTTGCCATCCACTTACGTAAGGCTGAAGTGCACGCTGTATGCTTTTTCAGAATTGAATACATTATCACAGCTGTTCTCGCCGAATAACATTGGCAAGGTAACAGAACTGCACTGTTGGACTGTGTCCATGCATAATTAGTTGTCTGTGGCTATTCTGCTTATTTAGTCTCGCTGCTAAACCGTGTATTTTTTCGATACATTTTTGGTGCTGGCGCAATGAAGCACCTCCTAACTGCTTTGCGTATACTTTTTGATTGTTGTGGTGTAATCGATTTTATGCGGATTGTCGTATCAATGAACCAAACGTTACATAGCTCCATTACTGACAGCCACGCCATTTGGATTTCGATAATACGCCTTGACAGTATGGATCCAAGATTAGAACCGAGTATCTGATCCGAAATGGAGGTGATAAGTAATTTGCCTTACCAACTAGTTGTTCCCATTGCAAGTTAAGGGGTATTAGGGTAGGAATTGCAGACATCCTAAAGAACACTGTCTTCGATATGCCAGATCCCGCATTGTCCCCGGCCAACGCCTGTCTAGATCCCTGTAACCCCAGCTTTTTGCCGGGTATGGTTTCATTTTATATTTTCCCCGTAAACCGATAATTTGGTCAACTTCCCTTGTCACCCTTCCTAACGGTCTTTGCGTCTTCAAACCCAGAATCAACGAACTTTTTTTGCGTGACGCTCGCAGTGTCACGCGGTTCTTTTATGGTAAGTCCTGTACTGTAGGATTTATTCCTTCAACTTCAATGTTTCTTTCCGTCCTCCGGTCCGTTTTTCAGCTCCAAGCCAAATTCGAAGCACTGAAGAAGAATCACGCCGAAGAGAAAAAGAAGTTGGAGGATAAAAAACGTATCCTTGAAGAGGAAATGGCCGCGTTTGAGCGTCGCAAGCTTCTAGCCGAACAAGCTAAACAAGGCAATTTCACCATGAAGAAAAAGAAGTAGACATCAATTCATTTTCGGATTTCTTCAATATTTCCACGCTTGAATTCCGAATCCACTTCAAGTAGATACGGCTAGCTTCAACTAACTTATCTTTTTATATTTGCAATGTGCATATAGACCGACACATCTGTGGCTTTTGATCTCTTGTTTCTTCATTGCGCTGGACAATCCGGTTATCTTTGCATTTAAACAGCATGTTGCATGCACTTTTTGTCGCATCTACTTCACACAAATTTTAAAATCCTTTTGCTTCTCATGTTCTCAAACAGGCTACTCGGTACTCGGCGTGTGAAGTGAAAGGAACTAGGTTTTTTTTCCGAACGAAGTCCCATTGTTCAAACTGATATTTTACTCCGGCGGGGTCCTTATTCCTAAAGGTGAATAGTGACACCCATTCAGTCCTGATGTACTGTGCTTTTTGAGGTAATGTATCACCTGAGTAATTTCCACTAGCCGTAGGACTGGTGTCGATGGTGAATATTCGCACATTTGAGGCAAACGCTGACAACTTTGATGTTGATACAAAAGAGTTTAACTGTACCTTCGATCGTTAGGCCCATTGTCCCAAACGGCGTTGCTGAATAAGAATCAATGTGCTCTTAGACTTTTTAATCACCTCAATTACACCTGGTTTCCTTTGACCCATACTTCTCTCAAGACGGGACAGTCTGCATTGGTTACCCACATCTTACACGGTCTCTTAGGATTGCCCACCCACTACTTTGTGCGGCCATTCTTCTGACTTTTTTAAACTGTTGTGTTATATTTAGCTGATAGGCATAAACGTATAAGAGCTGCAATTTCGAAGGTATTGATGGTGGTGACGAAGGATGATGATGCGATCGAATTAGGTCCATCGCTGAGAAAAGGTACTGTGTTCATTTAAATGACTTGTTTTTTGTGCGAAAAGTTGCTGCCGCCTGGACGAATCCGTAATCTGTGTGGAATCGGAATGGGCAATCTCCGTTTTCCGTTCGGTTGGCCGGGATGGCTTATCGACCATCTTAACATATTCAGTGCCCGTTCAGGGATCAAATCTTTTTTAATTCTATTTCTTACTTGTGTGATTAAAAGCAGACGGGGTGGACCCCATAGTCGCGAAGACATGCTGTTCAGTGATGAAAACCGGTGTCCTAAGCCCCCGGGCTAGGAATGGCGAACCACACAAGGTCCCGCTAGACGGCGTGGTATTGAACCAAACGACAGTAAATCTGCCTACCACGAGTTGGTTGACGGTAGCGGGGCCCGAACCTCGAACCATAGGGTCCAAAGCACGCAGGAACAGCGACTAAACCACTGCACTACAACTTGATCGTTGAAGACGCCAGCAACAACCATAATACCCGTTGAGCGGTTGACAGAGGTAAGTGTAGAAATCATTTTTCGTTTCACATGAACTGCGATCAGTCAATCGGTATACGGATAGACCGAATAGGGAGAGACTCGTCCTACAGTTGACCTTCACTAAACGATGGGTACATAGCCTCGGTGTGGTCGGGGTGGGTGTCTCGGGTTGCGGCTGGTCACCCTTCCTTTGCATCTCGCGAAATGCTCCCATACAACCAAGCGTCTCAAATAGTCTCTGCTGAGGAAACCCTACTCACTTCATTCTCGTGGCGGAGGTGTTTTCCACCAAAGTGAAAAGACGAAGAGCCGAAATCCTGGGGCTACAATCAGGTTGGTGGACCACTGTTAGTCCACCTAGTGGAGTTAGCCAACAACCCTGATTCTAAATCAACCAAGAGGAGGCGTACGAATCACATATCTTTTCGGTTGTGGCAATGGTCACCGGCTGCATTGGGTATTGAGGTGTATTGCGCACCTTGGATGTTTAACTCCGTCCGATGGGCGTATGATCCGAAGAACTGGCCACCGGCTCCCAATGGACTGCGGTTTTCACACACCGCCCCACTACCTTGAGGGTCAGGTTTTGGCTAGCCAAAGGCTCCGGTTGTGGATTCCTCAAGAAAATTCACCTGCTTNGGTGATCATGGAACGTTTTTGATTTTTAAGATTATTACACCGTGATTTGTTTGGCACACAGTCTGTCCTCAGACAAGTGGGAAATATAATATAGTAATAAAATCCAATACACCTTTTGATAATCGTGGCGCAGATGCTTCTGTAGCTGTTTTATAAAACAGTAACAACTTATGAATCCTGTGCAGAAATTGGTGCTCTATTTGGGCCCGGTCTTATCTTTCCAAGCTATCGGTGCTAGGCGGTTTCGCTCACAGGTCATCTCAGATTTGCCGTTTATCTTCGTAAGAACCGAAATATTTTGAACCGTACTAACCATCATCTTTTCTTCTCTGATTCAGTTTAAACTCAAATCTTCATTGTTGCCAGAAATATTCTCAGTTAAAAGGTGCTTACTACCCTTATCAGTGCATATTACTACCTTTTTTCAGAAAGTACATGTGCAATGAAAAATTTAGATTTAAATGCGTTGGAAATATTTGTGATAACCAACAAACAACACGGGACAGCTGTTTCGTCCTGTTTGGGACTCGTCAGCAGTGCGCACTTTTTGTGTCCCTGTCAGGACTCGAACCGTGATCAGTCGGGTGGGGACTTCAAACCCTTACCCCGGACAGGGACANACAGGGACACAAAAAGTACGCACTGCTGACGAGTCCCAAACAGGACGAAACAGCTTTCCAGTGCTCTTTGTTGGTTATCACAAACATTTCCATCGCATTTAAATGCATACAAACAGTGGGGAATTAACGATCTCCCAAGGAAACCCACACCGAGAACCATCAAGAGTGCCTGGTGCCTCTGAATGGGTTAATCCAAGCTTGATACTCTAAAAAATTTAGATTGCCGAATCGCATGAATGTGTACTTTCTCATTCCAGGCAGAAGTAATTCACTTCTGATGGATGAACAGTGTGCACATATCGGTATAATAAAATTGTCACGTTTACTAGTTACCATAAACAGAAAGCATGGAAATTTATCTCCAGAACTGGGCCTTTCGTTTTTGCAGTGATAGCTTGGGATGATCTCATGGTTGCTATACAAAAACTGGGGAAATTGCTGTTGGCACTGTCAGAAATCTCCTGAAGACGTGCTTCGTCTTGCATATGCTCATTTACGAGTTGTATTTTTCAAGAACTGGGATTCTCAATGTTAGCTTGCAAAGTGACCTGTTATTATTTCCTGTGTTTCCTTCGCTAGCGGAAAGATTGGGGAATTTTTTCACTTGTCCAGAATTTCGAGCTCGTTTGGCATTCTCTTCACGTAACTTCGTACCGCTGTAAGCTGAACTTATTTAAAGATCTTACAAACCCTTGAGGCCGGGGCTTCTCCCTTATCGAATTGTAGTTCTAGGTTACCGCTTTCGTTGAATTAGCTGGAAAAAGAAATTACAATTCATTATCAAAATGTTTATCGGCTATCCACAGAAGATAATCTAGAATCTGTTGAAGTATCAGCGTACTGTTCCCTTCGGTCTGGATATTTAAAAATAAGATCACCAGTGAATCAAGTTTTGTTCCAAACTTTCATTTTTTTCAATGCAATTAAAGTGGTAGTGTCAGTTTAAACGCGAATAATCTTCGCTACGGATCCATCGAATCACGGTTGACATCTTCTCCGTGGATTTCAAACTGAAGGACCACAAAAGTTATTTAAGTTGAATAATACATTTATTCAACGGGATTCATGCCATAAATGCTTACTGTTTTTTCTTGGGAATGATAAACAAAAGGGTCGGAACTGAGAAGTTGACGCAGGTGGGGGATACAAGACTGCATTGTGAGAATAAGGTGATCATCCTTAAGAACTGACCAATGCCGCTAACGGGTGGAGGAAATCTGTACCGTGATCGAGTGACTCGCAGAAGACGTGCCCTATGTTCAGGTAAATGGGACCTACGGGTGCTAAAGAGAGGCAATAAATCAACCGATATTACACACCTTATGTTAGAGGGCAATCCTATGTCGAGGATATAATCGATCAA